ATATATATATATATATATATACATACATACATACATACATACATACATATATATATATATATATATATATATATATATATATATATATATATATATATATATATATATATATTGGTCTCTGCCGGTCTCTGCCGAGCGGTGGAGGCTGTGTGCTGTTTTTCAATCGCCCAAACAAGACGGGACCAGTTGTCCAATTGCTGACAAGAAAATCAAAGGGTAGGAATGGGAATGTATCCAATCAGCGTCGACGTTGTTTTAGAACGTTTCAGAAGCATGATGGGCGATAGAGCTACCGCCAAGGCTTTCGTTGGTGTTCGGTAGAACTCGGAGAGTCTCGACTCCAGCACGTTTTTGGTCGTGACTCGTGACGGTCATGACGCAGACGTAGACATGGAAGCCAGTGCGCCTACAACATGGATACCGGATCTCAGCAGCCACTGAATTCAGTTCGGTCTCTTCTCCAGCATCCGTTTGAGAGGAGAACTATGGTGGAAAAACTTAATGTCAAAGAGCTTGGACCAGATCAGCCCGACGTAAAGATAAGCCAGCAGGACAAGGAGAAGGGTAAACTGTACACACAACGCTTCTCCCAAAATTGGTACACCAGGAAGCAGTGGCTAGCTGGATGCAATCACGCTAATGCGTTATTTTGCTTTCTGTGTTTGTTATTCAAAACGGCTGGGATCCACAGAAGGTGGATGTGGAACTTGTGTCTCATTGGGGACTCCATTCATTCTCTGACTGAGGAATGCAGCGCATCAGTGCAGCAGCCAACAAAGAAACGGAGGACGTTTGGACAGGGAGAACAGCAGCTGGGTGCAGAGGTAAGCTGTACATTACATTTCTGTAAACAAGACAATCAGAATCAGAAATCCTTGGTTGTCCCACAAACCGGGACATTTGTTTAATAACATGTACATTGTTTAATGTGCAATAACTGTAAAAACGAATTTCAACACACATACCTATTATACATATTTAATCATGTAAATGTGTATTTCAAGTAAATTTGTACATACATCAATCTGATTCCATTTTACTTGTTACACTGCTGCTGCAGCAAACAAATTTCCCAGCTTTTGGGACAATAAAATATTTCTGATTCTCAATCAGATGTTTTTACATTTGAAGTAGGTTGAAAAACCGTGTCACAAACTTAGGGGTTGTGATGGACGCTAAACTAAAAATGGACATTCATGTCAACCAGGTAGTTAAGACCTGTTATTACCACCTGAGGCGTCTCTCTAAAGTTAAGCCCATTTTAAAAAGGCAGCATCTTCATTCAGTTGTCCATGCATTTATTACTTCCCGTCTCGACTACTCTAACTCAGTGCTATACGGTATCTCCTCCTCCACTCTCGCTCGACTTCAGCTAGTGCAGAACGCAGCAGCTCGCTTCTTGACTGGCACCAGGCAGCGGGAACACATCACACCGGTTTTAGCAAATCTTCATTGGCTCCCCATCCATCTCCGGATAGAGTTTAAGATCCTGGTTTTTGTGTTTAAATCCCTAAATAACTTAGCACCTGGCTACTTGTCTGAGCTCATTCACCCATATGTCCCTACAAGATCCCTCCGATCAGCTGACCAACACCTCCTACATGTCCCTAGCTCTCGCTGTAAGTCCCGCGGGGAGCGCGCCTTTTCAGTTTGTGCACCGAAGCTCTGGAACCACTTGCCCCTCCCGATCAGACTCTCTTCCTCTCTTTCCCTTTTTAAGTCTCGTTTAAAAACTCACTTTTATTCTCTGGCTTTTAATTCTGTCTAACTTATTCCCTTTCTACCTTTCCTTTTAGGGTTGGATTACTTGATTTTAATGGATTTAGTTTTTATTTTTGATTGTTTTTATTGTGTGTTTTGTTCAGCACTTTGGTCGGCTCTCATGCCGTGTTTAAATGTGCTATATAAATAAAATTGGTATGGTATGGTATAATGTAGATTCTAACTTTTTCCAAATTAATTTGATGTAAAATTGTTTTATAGGCTCTGATTCAGTGGTTGCAGACTACAAATGTCATCTGCCGTTTTCGAGCAGAAGACTTGCTTATGAAGACCAAGACATTCATTGACAATGAAGGGTATAGTAACATTTGGGTGCTGACTCCTGTTAGGAGCTTGTATAATAAGCTGTAATTTTGAAACGCTATGATTTCTCTGACCTCACAGAAAAGCAGAACTGGTCATTAATGATGATACTCCAAAGGTAAAGCACACGTAACAAGCATAGTATATAGTATATATGTATTTATTTACAGTGAGGGCGGAGGGTGTTTGATGTCCCGGGAATTTTGCAAGTTCTACTTAGAAATCAAAGAGGGGCTTTCAGCATACATGCATAAACATTGCGCGCGTGTGCGTGTGTGTGTGTGTGTGTGTGTGTGTGTGTGTGTGTGTGTGTGTGTGTGTGTGTGTGTGTGTGTGTGTGTGTGTGTGTGTGTGTGTCATTTTCACAGGAAAGCAGTATTTTGGCAGACACGCTGGCAGCAGCCGAGTGGGTAAAGGGAACACTGTTCGAGGGAATGGTTCAAGTGCCATCCCTTCTGTCCATGGATGAGGAAGAACAGCAGGAAGTCCTTGAGGCAGTTCAAAGCTGGAACGAGGACCATGATTATGACTCTCCAGCAGAACATTTGACTTTTGCTTTTGAAAATAAAAATGACTATGACAAGTTCTGTTCCTTTATCATAGATGAGAAGAACCTCAAAGTTTTCTCCAGATTTGAGGTACAAGACTAAACAGCATAGGTCTTGGTTTTACTAAAGTTTTATTGTGTTCTAAGTCTACTTTATTGGAGTCCCTTCACATTACAGAGAGTGATAAATCCATATACACAATACAAAACTTTATTGTTGTAAAACCACAATATCTATTAACAATAAACTACATCCCCAAATCCGTTGTAGTGACAAACAGCCTTTTCACTTCCAAGTTGTTTAAAATGTACTGCAATAACCATTTTAAGCTTTTAAGATTTTGATCCTCTTAAATTACCCATCAAACTTTCTAACTATATTAAACAAGTGTTGATGTACTGGAAAATGATCTACTCACACAACTTTAGCCCACATTCCTCTTCTATATGGAATAACAGATTTGTTCTGTATAAACGGAAATCCATGTATTATAAAAGTTGGATGGATAAAGGAGTTTGGGCCATAATGCAGCTGATGGACAGTAAGGGTAAGTTTCTGGAGCATACTGAGTTCAAAATTAAGTATAATACAGACTGTTCTGTAACAGAATACTCTAGAGTTATAAAGGCTATTTCTCCAGCTGTTGGCCAGATGGTCAGTCAAAGTATTCAACATGGAACAAATACACCTAAGCTTCCTAAATTATCTATAGGTGACTTGAGTTTTACGGACCGTAAATGTAATAACTCTTACCTAAGAGCAGTCTTGTCAGACAAGTTATTCCTTATTCCTGTCAGAAGGAAAATTCTTTCTCCGATTTTCTCAATCAAAGATACCAAAGGCATAAGAACAGATTTTATTTCTTATCCTCTTCTCCCAAAATGAAGGAAGTTCACTTTAAAATGATTAATAATATATATCCATGTAAAGAATTTTTAAATATCAGATTTAAGATACAAGATAATTTATGTATGTAATAGTGAAATTGAAACTCAGAAACACCTTTTCTATGATTGCAAATCGGTAAATACATTTTGGTTAGATTTATACAATTGGCTTTTATTCAAAAAGAGTTACAATATCCCCTTATTCACATAAAATACAATTCAATTTGGGTGTATAGAAAAAAATAATCAGATTCAATTCGTTGTTAACAATTTGATAATTTTTGGGAAATTTTTTATTCACAAATGCCGTTTTATGAAAGTGAAGCCAAACTTTCCTTTTTTCCGAAACGATTTTATTCTATTTTGCAAATCTCTTAAAAAGGTAAAGACTATACAGGCTGTTACACTTGTCAGATTTAGTGAAGATCCTGTGAACTAAGGTCCTCGTCTTTAAATATGTATTATTATTGTGTTATTAGTAGTATTAATATTAATATTGTATTTATCTTATTTTATTTTTATTTCGTTATTGTGTCTTGTTAATCTTATAAATACGGTTGTTTCTGCTGATTAGAATATTTCTAATGGTCTAGTTTAAGGTTTTGGTTTATCTTCTTAGTTGTTCTTTTTGTTTTTGTTGAGTCTTGGTTGTTGTTACAATGTAATGTGATTGATGTTCACTAATAAAAAAAATAAAAATAAAAATAACCGTTTTAAGCCGGCAGATAGCGGTATCTGCCCCGATTGCAATGACAATATTGAGAAAACTAACAGTTTATCTCTTTTTATTCCACAATCCACACTGGTAGCAGTTGTCATAAATTATTTCAGAAATTGAGAACTGCTCTGGTGCTCCTCTGCTTCCTGACTCCGTACCGGAGGCCGGTGATCCACCGCCGGTCTTCAACCCGGAAGTGTCAAATCAGCCTCAATACGGCTGCCACACACACACGGGCCGAGATCTGGTTAGGAGTATCTGGGTGCAGTTTAACGCTGTAGCAGCAGATGCAGCTCCGGTCTGCAATCACATGGTACCAAACACGTTAAGATAGAGCAACGAGCATTAGCTAAGGCCGCACAGGAGGGAGAGTACTTACAATCGCTGCTTGCAGTTGGGGTTTCTCATTACCCCAGCACCTGAAGTGCCATACCAAAGCTGTCCTGCTGAAAAGAGCAGGCAGCTGCCTTTTATTAGATGACTCACCCCACCCTGCAATCACTCTAATGTGAGCCACCTGGCTCCTTACTGGGAGGGGACCAGATGAGATCTGTCTGTCCCATCACATAAGCATCAGTAAAATATGCCCTGTTGTATGTTGCATGTGTTTATTTATATATCTGTAAATAAGAATGTGTATAAATACGCTTTTATTGTGAAAAGGACAAAAGAGGAAGTGAAGATGACATCATAATAAGATAACCAATGAAGGACATGTATGTTGACCGCTAACCTCATGATGCACCAATAAAACGGGAGCATTGGCGTCTGCAAAGTTGCTAGCGCCAGTGAAGCCCATTGAAACATGAAGCTCTGTATCTAGTTTATTTCCTACCTTTGAATCTGGGACTCCGCTTGGGATATTTGGACCGACCGCTGCGTACAACGACACTCTGCTAACAGGGGGCGTTCCCGTTTACAAACAAAATTGCCCCTTTTAGCCGTTTCCCGAATAGTTGGGAACGGAAGATAACTTCAGCCTCGTGGACAAGAGGAAGGAACTGAAAAAGAAGACCGTTAGCAACGTTAGTTTATTGTTGTTTAGCCTTGTGAGGTGAATATTAAACATGTATTCAGGAGAGTCTCTGATGGAGTTTGTCACCAAGCAAGTAGCTATTGCTAGAGAAAAAATCAGGAAGGTTGAAGAAGCCATAGCCCAGTTCGAGGAAGGGCTCGGTGGCCAGCGCAGACTGTCGGATATGAGCTGGAAACCACAGAGCAGCTCGCACAGAGCAGGTAAGAAACACCAGCGGGTACCGAGGGGAAGAGCTTTAGGATTAGCATAAATTACGTGATTATTGTGGCAGAAAAGGACCAGTTTTAGCCATTTATGGTAAATAAAGGTGACGTAAAGCCCCCTGTGTGATGTGAAGTGTAGAACAAATTCTATAAAGAAATAAAGACTGATTCAACCTCCCAGAGTCAAAGTGGATGCTGAAATCACTCTTGGCAAGTGAAGTACTCCAGTTTAGATATTTTGGAGTTAATTTTTATGAACCTTTATTAACAAAATAGAATGTACAATGTGACAATGAGTTTACAAGCTCACAGTTGACAACGTATAAGAAAAGTGAGAAGTGCACAAAAATGTAAACAAAGTGCCAGGGGGATATAAAAAAGATGGGTGTACAGAAAAATACCGATTACAGTAGCATATATCTAGAGAGAACATCAACACAGAGATAGTAATAAATCAGCATCAGATTATCTTAAAGCGGGTACATATTTGAGTAGTCTTTACAGCCTTCTGGTTTTGTGAGAACCGGATAGAGTCCGTATAATGCTTGACCTCCACTAAGAAACAGTTAAAGTTGGGTTTGCTTTTAAGAAATTTATTTTTATGGATATGAAATTTGGCCAAGAGAAATAACAGATTAATAAAAATTTTTATAGTTATTAAAAATATTCTGGTGAAGGACAAACAAAACCTGCTTCCAATAAATGTTAAAATTGACAGAGAATTTACAGCAGATGATGTCACAGAAACACTGCCAAAACCGTTTGGAATGAGTACACAGCCAAAAAAGATGAGTTGTTGTTTCTGGAAGATCTTCACAAATTGTACAAGATACATCCAGGTCTGATTTAAATTTTTTTTAAAAACATTTAGAGGGGTAGAATCTATGTAATAGTTTAAAGGAAGTTTCTTTAACCTAGTTAGTGATCAGAAATTGATCGGGTAGAAGCCAAACCTTCCTCCATGTCAAGTCAGCCACAAATCTATTCCAGTATGGTACGGCACATGGAAGAGATGTCATGTCTTTAAGAAAGAGAGTTCTAATTGCTTTGTTTTTATTATTAGGAGAGTAATTAAAACAAACTTCACCGATTGGGGACAGAATTGGAGAAAAAACAGGAGAGAACTGACTATAATCTAATCTAGGTCTCTGATTGAATAACATACACACTCCTGGAGAAATGGCTCCAAAAACCTTTGTGTATTCGCCCGGCGTAATCGGAATATTATACTGTTGTAAAAACTCACCATAGGAAAGTAACTGACCTTCTGCATTAAAGAGTTGGTCTACTAAAAGTATGTTATTCTGGAACCATGAGTTGAAAAACAGAGACTTGTGTTTATAAAGAATGTCCTTATTATTCCAGATGAAGTCGCGGTGAGGTGAGAAATTGTGCTTGTACATGAGTGTCCATGAGAGGAAGGCCTGGCGATGGAAGGCTGATAACTTAACGGGGAGCTTTTCGACATTATCAGGGCCTGAAATTCACTTCTAAAAACAGGGGGGAATTCCTCCTTCACATATGTCTGTACAGGGGGAATTTATATATATGGGGGGGGGGGGGGGGGGGGTATTACCGAATGTGCAGTCTTATGTTGTACTAATCATACCTTACATCACGTTTATAAGCAGCTTTCATTGGACTCTCATCTTCGTTGCTCTTGTCCCTTTCTTTGTTTCATCTCCTCTGCCTGATTTCTTTCCTCACACAGAAGTTAAAAAAATAAATATAAACTTTCCAGGAATTACTTGTGGGATTAACAACAGGCCTTAACATTGTTGTATTCTTACCTCAGATTGATGCATTTATTAACTTTTTTTAATCTTCCTTAGTGGTCCTCATAGCTGCATCTGTGGCCATCTTTTCTTTTGTCCAAATGTTGTCTTTTTCTTGGCCTCTAACACTGCATCTTTCTCCATTGTAATAAATTTGAAGTATAAAAATCAAATAAAAATGCTCCTTTTTGCTGCACTGGTATTAGAAATTATCTGAACAATTTTAATTGCTGAAGTTTGTTGTCCAACTCTTTGGGCTGCATCTTTGCTCTTGTTTTTGCTTCTTTATCTGTTGTCTCCATCTTCTCTTCTTACTCTGATTTCTGTCTCTGAATTATTCAATCTCAAACTGATGAATTTTCATTAACCCAACTTTTAACACAAACATTTTCGTTGATGCGGCATCAAACACGATTGCAACTATGTACATTAATGTATCTGTTAGCTCACAGTACTAATTAGTTTTGGAGCGGGGTTCTCCCACGCTCTGCTTGGTCCTCTGTCCTCTCTGTCTTCTGTCTCCTCTGCTTCATCTCTTTCCATTTGATAAAAGCTCTGTTGAAATCAAACTGCTCTTGCGGAGGGCCAAGCTCTGAAATCAGCATCAGATTGGTGAGGTTTGCGTTATTCAGAGAATTTCTGAATCTTGTTTTTATCCTGTTTTGCGTGCTGAATCCGCGGTCACATGACACACTGGCAACTGGGATGACTAAAGCGATCTTAATGAGCTTCTCCATTTCAGTGAACACACCCCGATGGTCACTCAAAACAGCCTCTGCAAACTGCTGAAAGGTCAATGAGGCGTACGAGTCACTGGAAACACTAGTTTGCTTCAGTAAGGCAAACTCCGAGTGTCCATCCACTGCACTTACATAGTTTGAGAAGTGTGCAAGAAGGTTGTCGAGTTTTTCAAGGCCATAATGAGAAAAGTTATCTGACTTTTTTGCCATAATGGCTTTTTTTGGCTCCAAAATCGTAAACCATGACAGAACATCCAGTGTCTCACAGGGGAATCTTCTCTCAATCTCTGTTATTAAAGATCCCACGTACCTGCTCTTCATGTCATCAAAGGCTGGTTTTTGGGTGTGGCAGTCAAAAATTTTGTCTCCTTTAAACTTGTTTCCATCAAGAGAGCTGAAGAATTCAGTTTCTGCAGGGCCAGGGTGGACGATTATTTCCTTCAGGGCTTCTTTGGTACTTTCAACCATTGGCTGTGCTGTGGAGAAGTCCAGATCTTCTCTTTGAAAATGTTTTGAGAGAAGGACTACATGCATCAGTACGTCCTTCATCATGTGACAAAGGGCCACAAAGTTAAACTGTCTCACAGCTAGTAGCAGACCTTTAGCTTTGTCAGCATCTTTTGCATTAGAGGAAGCCATGTGCTCCAGGACATCGCTCAGGGATTTCAGTGATCTACACACTACTGACACTGCATTGTGAATTGACAGCCACCTTACTGCATGCGGCTGGGTGAACTTCAGTTGGGGTTCATCCAGCTGTTTCTGCAATTCATGCAGCTTGTTGCTTCTGACAGCAGAATTACTGAAAAAAATAAAAATTGATCTCAAATCCTGATGAAACCGTTTCACCTGTGGCACAGAGTTGGCTGCATCACTGGCAGCAAGTGCGAGACGATGAGCCGTACAGTGGATTCGTACCAGGTCTGGGTTGTATAGCTCTGAGTTTTTTAATAACTCCTTGTCTGCATCCTGTCATTACAGCAGCTCCATCAGTGCAAACTGCAGCAAGTTTTTTTCCATCCAGTTTTTTTTCTGTCAATAGCTGTTTTACATCTTCAACAATAGTGTCTGCTCTTCCATCAGCAATTTCAGAATTCCTTATCAGTTTTATTTTGACCTTGTTGTCATCTATGAACCTGACATAGATAATCAGTCGTTTGGTGTTACTAATGTCAGTAGATTCATCCAATATTAATGAAAACACGGGACTTCTTTCAACAGCTTTGTCAACATCTTCCACAAGTGTGCTTGCAATAGCTTGCTGCATTTCTGACAGTCCTTTTTCATTGACGTAGCTACCATAGCTTGATGTTTCTGTAAGTTTTTTGAAAGCAGGACGCTCCATTTCTTTCAGGAATTTAACCACATGGCAAAATTTAGCTTTTGCCATTTCATTTTTTGCAATAAAATATGCAGTTTTCAGGAGCCCCTTCATTTCTGCAGCAGACTGTAAATTTGCATCTTCGATAGCTTTGGCCATTACATGTTTTGCTGAATCCGCCTCACGTTTTCTTTTTATTGCTGCAATGTGAGACACCATCAGCGTGACGGCGTAAAGTTGATGTTTTGTAGCATCGACTTGCAAAAGGCACAGCGCCGTACATTTTACAAATGGAGCAGTTCATTTCACCATTATTATTTTCAAGCCAGGGATACAGTCTGAGCCAGTTAGCCTGAAACTTATCTTTAGGCTGCTTGCTAACGTTACTTTCAGTGACGCTACCTTTTTGAAAGTCTGGAGGATCCGTCTCATTCACAGCATCGCTGGAATCAGCGCTGCCTCCCGCCCTGCCTAAAGCGCCTCCTCCCTCGCTGCCTTCCGCGCTGGGGACTTCTTGTAAAGTGTTTTTGGGAGCAGGTTCCCCTTCGTTGTTAGATTTCCGTTTTAACCAGCGGTCCATGTCTGCGTGCAGGCGTTATATCCGACAACCGAAGCACTGCTTTGCTGCTAGCATGGGACTGAGCTCGTATTTTGATAAGTGGAGAGAAATAAAATAATCCAGCGCGCTGCCAATCACCAAGATGAAGAATGGGTTCGATGTTGTGGGATTTTAATGGCTCCGATACAAACGTCCACATTCGCTGCAGGCTGTGCGGGACTTTCCCGCATTATAAAACTGGATTTGCGAGAACCGACTATATAACGCACAATACCCGCAATCCCGCAGTGAATTTCAGGCCCTGATTGTAGTTGCAAATCAAGAAAAACTTTAAACCACCAAGTTGGGATAAAATGTGATTGGGTATTATATGCCAGATAGAAGTAGGAGACTTGAAAAACTGACAAATCCAGTTAATTTTAAAAATATTATTCAATAAAGAAAAGTGAAGCAAGTTCAAACCACCATTTTCAAGCACATTCATTAGGGAGGATTTTTTAAGAAAGTGGGTCTTGTTTTTCCAAACAACGTCAAGTAATAACCGATCAGTCTCCTTACACACTTTTAGGGATGCACCGATCAGGTTTTTTAATGCTGATCAC